TGCGGGGGAGATTTATCATCAGTAACAGCTGTTCAGTGTTTTTTATCTTAAGAACTTTGTCATAAGTCCCGACCGTGATTGGGTCTAGTACAACCACCGTAAGAGCAAACGAAAACTGATTTGTTTAAGAATCAGCCGCCAAATCCACCGTACTATCAGCAGCAGCAACAACCGCAACAACAGCAGCAGCAGCAGCAGCAACAACAACATGTCTGGATCCCTCAACATCAACAACAGGTAATTTCATATGATCCAATAAGTTATGATGGCATAAGTCTTTTTTTTTTTGCCGACGTTCCGTTTAGAGCCATAAAAAGCGTAATAGATTGAAAATTATGAGCCGTTAAAATGCAAAAATCCAATTTCCAGATGATGCAGCAACAGCGACCTCAAATGATCTACAGTGGAGGGATGCCACAGCAGCAGCAGCCGCCACCGCCGCAGCAACACTGGCAGAGTAACCAACCGCGCAATCCACGAATGATGTATCCACAGCCAGATAACGGTTCGTCAAAAGTCAATACCCACTCTGTATCAGTTCTTTTTCAGAGACGGAAACATTTGGAAGTACTCTAAATGTTCGGGTATGCCAATGACACCAGCCATCGGCGAAGTTTTTAATAGATGACACTTTTGGCGGTTCCTCAAAAGTGCTATCTCTATAAGCAAGCTGACGACGGATTTCACTTCTCGGCATATGCCACCGAGACAGACGTAAAGAGACTGATTTTCTCAGTGGGTGGGGCAAACCCTAAACCTTTTGCATAAGAACAGAAGAACAGTATGAATTGAGCAGCGGTTGTTTCGTGGTTTCTAGTTTTTGCGGCCACAGACATTATGTTTGCCGGTATGGAGTTTATTTGGTAATATTAAAGAGTTTAATTGAAGAGGGATGGCATTAAACACAGCCATAAAAGGAGACATGTTCGGTTGCGTCGATAAATATAAATTATACTTGAGCTTGTTGGGCCAGATAAATTGAGTAGTTTGCATCGTCTCTTTTTAGCGCTGCAGATGTCTTTGAGACATTCATAAAAATATGCGAAACCACACCGGAGCAGGCTGGGTTGTGCGGGTTGCTTTTGTGCTCATGAAATTCCGAGTTAGCTCATTTCGGAATAGTGGGGTGGCAGTTCCAAACACTCTTGATTAAGAGAGAAAAGCGGGATAAGCAAATAGAAAAGGAGCGGCATTTATGTGCTTTCTGTTTGAGTGTGAAAAAAATGAGCTCGATGGCGATGCAGCATAGAGCAAATTATGCATAGGCTAGGATATAAGAGATTGCTTGCTACTGTCTCAGATAAATGATGCGATGATTCAGGGTTGGAAACAGCGAAAAGAAATTAGCGTCAGTGACCGTAAGATGTACAGAACTGTCTGATTTTTGAGATAAAGGTAGAGGACGAGTATTTGATGATAATTGAAACGACTGTATTATTCTTGTATAAGCGGGCTAAATAGAGTCTTATGTACATCTCAAAAGCTATGCAGCGCAGAAAACACATGTTGACGAGAGATTGTCTGTGTGTGCGTCTGCCACGGTTTTTCATCTCATGACCCACAAAAGCTACAGGGCTGAAACTTTGTCTACATGTACATACGGGCCCCAGTCCCCAAAATGGGCGCTTTTACCCGCGTGATACCCACATACGATCCCCTGAAAGGTTTCTACGGGTAAGTGGCTAACTCGAGAACTAAAAAAGCTAGAAAGCTGAAGTTTTAAGGAGATGTTCTCAGTACACGTAAGTCTCACTGAGCGTAAACTCAACCCTCGGGTATGCGTGGTACCCACGCGCGGGCCTGCCAAAGTTTTTTTGGGTAAGTTGCTAAACGAGTTGCTAAACACGAGAATTTGAAAAGCTAGAAGTCTGTAGTTTTAAGAGGATATTCCCCTCCCACGTAAGTTTCAACGAGCTCAAACCTAGACACCGGCCATGCGTGGTTCCCACGTACGGGCCTGTGAAAGTTTTTTTTTTGGGTAAGAGGTTAACTCGGGGATCTGAGAAACTAGAGAACTGGAAAGTTCCTCGTCAGCGTAGGTGTTAATGAGCTCTAACCCAGACATCGGATATGGGTGGTGCCCACTTGCGGGCCCGCGAAAGTTTTCGGGTAAGTTGATAACTTGGGAACCTGAGAAGCTAGAAGACTGGAATTTTAACGGGGTGTTCGTCGGCCAAACGGGTTTTCATGAGTTTAAATTCAGCCTTCGGGTATGCATGGTGCTCACGTGAAAATTTTTTTCGGGTAAGTCGCTAACTCGGAAACCTGAAAAATTAGAAGACTATAATTTTTAAGAAAATGTTCCTTATCCACGTAGGTATTGAGCTCAAACCTAGCCTCCGGGTGTGAGTGATTCCCACGTATGGGTCCGTGAAGGTTTTTTTGTATAAGTTGCTAACTCGGGAACCTGAGAGGCTAGAGGACTGGAATTTTAAGGGAATGTCCCTCGTCAAAATAGGTATTAATGAGTTCAAACCCAATTCTCAGGCGTGCGTGATACCCACGCACGGGCCCGTGGAGGTTTTCTTCAGGTAAGTTGCTAACTCAGGAAACTCAAAAACTAGAAGACCGGAATTTTGATGGGATGTTTCCCGACAGTCCTGGCGGTCACTCTGAAATTCTTTTAGCTAGAAGCATCTGCCAGAAAAATAGTACCGTTAGCGACAAAAATCTTCGGGGAACTATGCAAAAAACGTATCTTTGCACGGGCAGCGCGTGCGTTGGCCAGTTATATTTTCTTGATCTGTATTTTGCTAAGTCAGCCTTTAGTGGAAAGGGGGAGCTGCCTTTTTAACGCAGCACTTGAACATTCTGAATTACTGGTCCAGGGAGTGCAATAAACGATTTAAACTTCATTTAGTTACAGCCTCACCTCAGGTGTTGAGAAAACCGGTGACGATTGCCGTATTTTTGTTACAGTTTCGGAGATGAGTGGTGGCTCTTCGGGTAGCGTGCATACATCGCCGATGACCAGTCGCAATGCATCAGTTGATTACTCTCCGGCATCACAGTCCAGCAGTACCATGTCGCCGCTGTATCAGCAACAGCAGCAGCAACAGGTAATATTTTGGATTGCATCAGAATGACACTTTTTGTAAAAAAATCACATCTCTGCTTTGCCACTGACGAGGCAAAAGTGGCTGCATCAATGACAGAGCGCAGGGGAGATGTGCTATCGCAAATTTAATGATTATACTAAACGTTTCAGAAATTTTAAAGATACAAACAGTGAATATCCCTGGCTAGGAGATTGGAAGAGGATGGGGGCCTAAAATCTTTTATGTGTTAACATATGCAGTTTGTTTGGCACCATCAAGGGAAACTTGTGTTTTGACGGCACAGAAATAGTGGCTTCTTATCAGGTCCTTTTCCTTGCGAAGAGAACGCAGGTGAATGAAAATATCCTCGAGAAACCCGCGTGTAGCAAAATGCTGCAGCATTTAGCGTTAGGGACTTATTAATTTAAGCTGTTCTGTATACGGATGGGGGCTTTGTAAGGGGATAGCGAGTTTGGTAGGAATTATATTGCGAGAAAATACTGATGACTGTTTTGAGCAAAAGCAATTTGTTTGTTTCGAATTACAGCAAAACGTGATTTATCAGCAGCCAATACCAAACCAACAGACGCCACCAGGGCTATCGTATCCACAGCCATCACCCTCACAGCAGCAAGTAGGAAGCATTGTTTCCCGGCCTCAGCAGCAAACAGCAACGGTACCTATCCAACTACAACAGCAGCAGCCTCTTACGCACTTTGTGGCCGATCAGTGCATGGATTTACAGCCGAAAAGCTGCATGCCTGTCATGCAAGCTACCAGTGATTTTGAGATTCAGGACGAACTCGGCGCCA